TTGTTCAATAATCCGTGTTTTTTGAATGATGTTGCAGATTTTAGCTGTCATTAAATGATCGTTTAAAATGAAAAAGTTAATTGCGTCGGATAGTCAAGATCGGTGAGAAAAAATGTGAATGATTTCATCTTAAATTGAATTCAAATTCACGATATTGAAAATGCAGTGACAGTTGCTTTAATGTCAATAAATTTTAATCAATTAAGTTGAATTTATGGAACAGTTCTTGAGGAGTTCCTTCAAACTTCTTCATTTCAGGAAGTTCAATTCTCTGGGGCTATTTTCCTTTTTAACAATGGGATAATAATTCTCAATTCATTGAAAATACAATTTAATGTAATTTTCAGAATGAGGTTAAAAATTCAACTTATTATTGAAATATGACGTAAATGCTCAATTTAGTTGTTATCAATGCAGTTGTTACTTGAATTTCAAAGAATATCAATGAAATTGAATTTTTTTAATAGATCTTGAGGACTTTCTTCATGCTTTGTCTTCTTCACCTCCGTTCATCGTTCCATCTCATGAAGTTCAATTCCCTGGGGCTAATTTTCCTTTTTAACAATGCAATAACAGTCGTCAATTCATTGAAAACAAAATTGAATATAATTTTCAATTTTCAGAATAAGGTGAAAAATTCAAGTTATCATTGAAATATGACGTAAATGTTCAATTTAGTTTAACTCCAAAGATGTATCAGAAATTCCGCGAACAATATGATCTTCAATGAAATGAGAATTCATAACATTGAAAATTCAGATGCAGTTATTACTTAAATTTCAAAAAATATTCAAGGACTTTCTTCATATTTCTTCTTCATTTCTGTTTTTTGTCCGTCTCATGAAGTTCAATCCCCTCTGTCTATTTTCCTCATTAATAGTGAAATTTGGCATTCAAATATACCGTAAAACCTCAACATAATGGATTTTTCAAGACCAATAACAAATTCCCCAAACGATTTGATTTTAAATTGAACTGAAATTCCCAAAAAACCGAATTTCAAAAAATCCCTACCAATGCACTTGAACTCATTGAACAGCTCTAGAGGCTTTTCTCCCCATTCAGCCATCCCTACCTCTCATTTCCATTTCATTCCAAATTTTCGTTCTCCTTTTATCCGCAAAAAATGCGAGTGAAAAGTGTCTGAACGACAGTGCAAGTTTCCACCGATAGCGAAAGCTCGTTCACACGTACTGGAGCTCACCAGAGACCATTTACTCCGTTAGTGTTTGAGATAGTGGAGAGTGGTACAAGGAAAGTGAGAGCAAGAGTGAACTATTACTTCCCATTTACCCCCTAGTCACTAGTACCCCCCGACTGATTCAAACGTGTTGGTAATGCCGGTATAAATGGTGATACTTACACCTGTAAACTCAGAACTACAACGCGTTACTCACAATGTAACTGTGCAACCGATCAATGATGTATGTACGTAGGCTGGTGCTCATGCAATAGTGTTACATACGTGTGTTTGGAGTTAATACGAGCCGAGTTGTGTGCGCCTCCATGTGTCGGAGGAATGGGGGTGAGAGGCCTCGGGCATGCACACAGTCAACAAAACACCCGGGTCGATATTTCGTCCTGGCCCCAAGCCGACGCTCCAGTTGCCAGTGATGGCTTCAAACTCAACGCGTTCATAATTTTCGTTCTCCTCAGTAGCAAAATAACAACATCATTTCTCCGGATTTTCACGTGTGAAAATGTGAATTGAAATTTTTGGGCTTAAAAACCCAAGCGCAAGGATATTTTCGCAGGACTTTTCGGTGAACTCGTGAAATTGTAGGTAGTTATTATTAAATCAATAGGGGTGGGGCAGAATGGTTTCACTCTGCCATATCATTTAGCCCCGTATCTCCCCTCGACAGTTGAGCTCATGAACGATTAATTATTATTCATTATTCCCTCGTGGAATAAAATCCGCGACAAAGACTGAATTTTCCAACTTTGTTGCGGGTAAATTATACGTCTGTACTAACAACGAAAATTTCCTACTTGAGTGATTGAAACGTTTGGATTTTAGACACCTTGTTTGGTGAATACCAAAACGTGGGAATAGGCAGGCTTACGAGCAGGGAGGGCCTCGTAATAGTAACCTTGAGGGTGAAACGGGCGAGCGCGTGGTCAACGTGCGCGGAAGCCCAGTATCACACGTGGTTGTGTCGGGGGGGGG